GTTTTCTTTTCAAAATCGAGTTGGGGATATGATTTACATGTTGTTTCATTTCCAAATCATACATTTCTTCTTACAAATGTTCTAAAATTCATCATCAAACAAATCGATTTTCGTATATATTCTGTTATATTTTTCAAAACATTACACACACAGTCACACATTTGGTATATGACTTTGGCATAACAAGCCACAGTATGAAAAATTAAATTGTAATTTATAGGTTGCTATGGCCTACTTTGAATAATTGTACCATGGGGTAACCTTTGTGAGACTAAAGTCGCAATTTGCAACCTTTTTGATGACCTGTGACTCTCTTATGTCATGTTCTGACGGGCATTCGAACAACGTAGTTCGCTCTCAGAATTACGTACATGAATTAACCCGTTCATACAACACTATTCTTAATGCATGTCATCAGAGTTTTTTATTTCAAACTTTTTGTTTCTAGTTTTACACCAAAATTGCAACATATTTGCGTGAATCATATATGGATCTAAATAGAAAAAATAATTATCTTTATCCTGACTATAGTATCAACCCATATCTCTTTACTTTTAATTCATGTTTTCCATTTTTTCTGAAAGTATTGTTGTTTTGAGTATATTTTCATTTTTTTCAATTCAAATGTCACAAAAAAAATTGGAAAACTTTTTTTTTTGGTTTCCCCACATTGGTTTCTCGTTTTGTACGCTAATTAGAACCAAAGGGACAGAAATACATATTGCATTATGTAGATTACAAAATTTACTTCCTTCTGCATATATAAAAACTCGAATTTTTTTTACTTTTCATTCATCATTTTTAATTTTACTGAAAATGTTTGAAAATTTTACAAATATTTTCATGCTGTCAAAATTAATTTATTTTCGATAAATTCTCTCAATTGTTAGGGATGGGACAAATTTCTTGGTTATTCGGAGAGTGATTCAAATTGAACAACGTACAAAAGTCGGTGTTCGCTCAGACAATTTTGTATGGGGAACTAAGTAATTACTTCATAATTAGGGGTCGAACAACGAATGAGAGAGCGAACGACGCCCGTCTGTACATGGCATTAGATTTGTCTACGTCGTTTTTTGATTTCCAAGGGTTTCTGACATATCCTCAGAACTGTTTTATATTATTTACATTTCTGTGCGATTTTTTCAAGGGAACGACTTTTTGGGAAACTTTTACAAAATTCCCAGCGGTAATACTGCTGAGGCATTCACAAGGACAGTGGCCGTGTGTTTTTAGTTGTCAGCAGTCTCCCACCTCATTCGTAAATATTTCGTTAACTTGCTTTTAGTTCTTCTTTATCGGCCATTTTGTCTTCTTCCCCATTTGTTAATAAGTGGAACCAAGGTATATTTAATAAGGTAGCCGGATCGGGCCAGCAGTTGGACAAATAAATGTCAAAAATGTTGTTGTAATGTTGAACGAAAAAATTAAAAAACAAAATTATAAATGAAAATCTCCGAATTTCTAATAGCTTTTTTGGCAATACTTTTATTAACAGTTTCTACAAGAGTTTGTGTAAAAAAATGTTTTCAATCTGCTTGTTCTGGCAAAATATTTTTGACATATCAAAATACAACAACCGATGTTTGCTGTAGAAATTCGCCGATGCGGCTACCTTGTATATCTACTTGGACGTTAAACTTAAGTTTTTTTTGTGAATTCGCTTACTGGCCGACCTTATATAGGCCTTGGCAAAGGTATATTTAATAAGGTAGCCGCATCGGCCCAGCTGTTGGACAAATAAATGTCAAAAATGTTGTTGTAATGTTGAACCAAAAAATTAAAAAACAAAATTATGAATGAAAATCTCCGAATTTCGAAGAGCTTTTTTGGCAATACTTTTATTAACATTTTCTACAAAAATTTGTGTAAATAAATCTTGTCAATCTGTTTGTTTTGGCAAAATATTTTTGACATATCAAAATACAACAACCGATGTTTGTTGTAGAAATTCGCCGATGCGGCTACCTTGTATATCTACCTTGGACAAAAAACTTTATACTCATCTGTGCTTACTGGCCGACCTTATATAGGCCTTGCTTATCCCTAACAACAACAACGATACAATGTTTACAATGTTACTAAGCTACTTGTTATTTTTTGAAAACAATTATACAAATCAAAATAATTATTTCTGACGGCAACACCATTTGGTTCCACAAATAGTTCTTGGACGGTACAGAAAATGTCTTTGAGACTTGAAGAAATCTGCAGCAAATTGCAATCCAACGAGAGGGGAGTCAAATTGAGCGCTCTGGAGAATTTGCGAAATAAATGCAAAAATCGCATGGAATACAGTGATGACAAGCTATTGGAGATTTATGACGAATGTTACCTCCACTTACTGAAATGTTACAGCGACAGATACGAAAGTGTCCGCGATCAGTCGGTGGAAACAATCAACGAGTTTATGGAACGACTACCACCAAATGACTATCATTTGCTTAATATTGTAGCCACCTTGGCTGAACGTTTGGGACAGCAGGAAACCATCGAGGAAAGTGAAGAAATACGCCTGACTTTTGTGAATCAATTGAACATGCTGGTCGAACGATATATTCAGACGGGAAATAAGTGTTCGATCCAAAGTTGCCTGGAAGATGTTGTTCGAATTTTAATAAAGGTTTTAAAGGATCCGTATCCAGCTGTTCAGAGAGAAGCATGTAAGAGTGTGAAACTGATTGCTTCTTCGATCGATAATTACAATTTTCAAAAACATGCTGAGCCACTGGCAAAGGCTCTTTATGGAATGCTAAATCACAAACATTCTCAGGCTCGTATTGCAGCTGTCAATGCCTTGGGCTATGTAGCTTTACACGTTGAAGCCGGTGAAGCTTTGTCACGATTGATAATGGAAGTTTCTCCATTACTCATGGACTCAATGCCTTTGGTGCGTCGAGAATGTGGTGAGCTTGGTGTTCGACTTTTATTAGAGCTGCGAGACCGTTATTCATATTTCGAAAGACTAATACCTTTGGTTCTGTGCTGGTAAGCTACTTGTGAAATGTAGTTTATATTAAAGTAGTCAATATTAACAACTTATAATTAAAGCCTTAAAGATGAATCGGCCGAAGTACGTGACTACATATTGCCACTATGGGTGAAATGTGGAAAACAATACTATGATGAGAATGAAGCGGAACTAAGCAAACAAGAAATTGCCGATTTACCGGTTGCAAACTACCCCAGTGACGTGCAGCGACCCACAATTGGTTGTCGAGCAATAGTTCAACGATCATTGCGGCTACTGAAATTGATAACAAGAGAATCGGCCGATTGGAAAGAAAATGTGCGCCTACATTCTTTGAAACTATTGTATCAATTTGTATTACACGCTGAAGCAGCAATGACGGCGAACTTTTTTGAAATATATCCAGATGTGGCAAGAGCTTGTCGGGATAACGAGAACATTGTTGTACAAGAAGCTTGTAATCTTGCCGACCTAATGGGCCGTCTGCTAAACTATGAGGATTGGTGCGAGCATGGCTTTGAAGGTTTAGAAAAAAATGCAAAAGAGGGATATTTAAAATGTTTCTACCATATGTATAGGTCTGCTCTGGGTATTAAGTTTGATGATCATGTCCGCCTAATGGAACTGATGGTTCAACCCGATTTCTCACAAACATTGAAATGTAGTTTTCAAATGTACATTTTAAAGATGACTGAAACTGTTTTAGATAAGACGGAGAAAGACGCAAGTTTTTGCAAAGATAGCTCCTCGGATTTATATGAAAAATTGGATGGATTGCATAAAAATTGCTACATTTCCACATTAAAAGTAATGGCCTTATCATTGGAATCGGAACAAAGTAATAGCGAGGAATTACAAACAAAGGGTACTGATATTTTGCACAAAATCGCCAAACGATATAATTCTACAATGGACGATATACATGAAAGATATTTCCAAAGTGCATTGAAGTATGTGGATAACATAGACGCTCACTTGGATGCTTTAAGTGAACCCATCTTGTTATTTTATGGTCTTCTAAAATTGGGCAAATTTCGAGAGCCATACATAAATGTTATACAAGAAAAAATTAACATCATTTTCGAGTATTGTGCTGACGAAGCTAAGGTTAAAATATTTACTGCCGTTTCCATAGCAATGTTAGATTGGAATAAGACAATTCGGAAACCGTTAACACGTAGCTGTGAAATATTACTGGAATTTGTAAAAGTTGTTATTGAACCACACCTAATATGGAAGGCTGGAGCAAATGCTGAGGCAATGCGGTCGTTGGCAACAGCTACTCTGTGTGCCATATCACAAGGGGCTCCCGATGAAGCGCGTACTGTGTTACCCGGCTTATCGAAATATATTCCTAGTCTATTGGAGGATCATTCTGTGTCAACACGTCACTATGCTGTCAAATGCTTATGCAATTTTGGTCCAATACCTTTGGAAGAAATGAAGCCAATAGCATATGGTAAGTACAAATAAAAATCTATACAAATACAATAATTTACATAAAACACTTTTAGGTTGTTTACAACGCTTGGATGATGCCTCTGGTGGCATACGAATTTTAGCTGTTTCTGTCATTCCGAAATTGGAACCTATTTACACCGATAAACATGAAGAAAGCCCTGCACAGCAAAGTACCTCAAAGGCAGCATATGATCATGAGGTGTGGTTAACATTCGTAAAACACTGCATGGATATGATGTTTCTACACTACGATAACCCAGAGATACGTTTACAGGCAGCAATAAAAGGTAGTAGATTTAAATTCAATACTACATAAACAACTATATCCACCACTACTATTTACAGAAACCATATTGGAGATGTCTAAACGCTATCCAGAAATATCAAAGGAAAGCTACAAACAAACCATGAACAAAACCTATAACAACTTTAATTTAAAAGCCCTTGAAAAGGAACTACCATTCATTGAGTGAATATCGAACTCCATTTGGAAAAATATTTAGTTTATGCACATTCTTAGCATTTATTTGTAATAAAACTAATTTAACAATAAACATAGATTTGCCATTTACCACATAGCCCTTTGGACACCAGAAAGTTTATTATAATCGGCCAAATGGCGCCACACGATACGACTCAAGCGATATTTGTGAACAACACCGCGAGGTCTGGACGTAAGGGCACAACGTTCACGGACACGCACCAAACACGAGTCTCTTGGGAATGCCGCAATTTCAGCATCTGCAATTTCCCTCAACTCAACTGGCAGTATGTCATTCTTCCGCAATGCATTCACACGCAGACGTTCCTTGGCATGTTCAGTGACACACTTGCGGCGTTTTACATCACGAATCATTTTCCAATCGGCCCATTTGTTGCGAACTTGTTGAAACTAAAATTAAAGTTAATCAACACCAATAGACCAGCATATACCACAAAACTTACTCCACAACCGGCAAATTGTAATGATTGACTAACAAAACTTCCAGCTTTAGTCAGGGAATTCATTCTGATGTCCTTCCAAATGGGAATCTAAGGTGCTATGTAACTTAGGGCTGCTTAATAACAAAACTAGGTTGAGGTTAGAAGCAGAGAAGGAAAACAGCTGACATAGAGAAGAAGGTAGTGTTGGAAAACGTAAAAATACAATTCATTGGATAAAGATGTGTACGCACTGTGTGACACGATTTTAGCTTTGTTTTTCCATAAATTCGGAAACTTGCTTAAAAAACTTCACTTTTGAATGCTGCAGGGCTTTTGGCATTTGTCTGCTTAAATTCTATTAATCTAATTAGTTTTGCAACTTTTTATTCCAAATCCGATCAAGTATCAACAAAACTAGTAAAGGGTTCAATCAAATTTGTGGATGCATTCTATATAGTCATTTTACTTTCATTTTATAAAAGGAAAACAGCAGGCTCTAAAACAGATAAAATGATATACATTTTGTGTGCTTTTACTTATTTTTTTATTTTAGTGAATGATGTTAATTTAATTTTCCTTCTGATATCGAAGAAAAAAAGTAAAATCTAGTTGATTCTTGCAGTACGGGAACAGACCAAATGTTTGCATCGTTGTAAAAAAAATTATGGCCTGTCCAACAACAATGTGATTGTCGAAATTGACGGACATGAACAGTTAAACGATCCAACAAGAAAAAAGTGTGGCACTAATAGTGTATACAATGCTTTATGCGGTATACACACTAGCACATTTGAATGACACTTTTGCCCAAATTTTGCTTGTTTGATAGTGTGACCTCTCCTGTTTGTCATTCATCAGGCAACCACAAAAATATTCATGGTTGTTGGACAGTCAGTAACCATTAAAAAAACTGTCACTCAAAAGTGTTAGTGTGTACACCGCTTTAGAGATATATATGTATCCTTTGGGTCAATTTGGTTCCAACGAAAAATCGATTACATCAAACCTACCCAATTATGTCGATAATTCGATTATCCGTATATCGGGCTACATAGCCCTATTTTCACCTGCGTGAAGTTAGCGACATCGCTAACTTTCGATAACAAAATTTTTATCGAAATTACAGGGTGACACAGAACATCACAATTTCACATTTAACACTATTTTTATCAACATTGCTTTCCAACAGAGATAGCGCAGAATATTATAAAATAATATTTTTTTAAAATTATTAATAAAAATGTTAACATAATTCATTAGTAATGAAAAATAATAAACAATACGAAAATGTTGAAACATATTTTATTATAATCTAAAACTAAAGTATTACTAAATCACAAACATTTTAATCCAGTGAATCAGGAGAGATGTCCGCCTCTGGAAGCCTCCCTATACAAACCTCGAACATAGTGATGGTGCCAAATGAAAGAGGGAGTCTCTACGAGTATTTTAGTATGCACCATATGTTCAGATTCAGTTTTTGGTAGAACAAAGTTGCTGAATTTCTGATTTCCAACTGGTGGTCAGGACACCAAAATGGCTCTGGAAGCCTCCGTCTACAAACCTCGAACAAAGTAAGGGTATCAAACGAAAGAGGGAGTCTCCAAGAGTAGTTTGGTATGCACCATATGTTCAGATTCAGTTTTTTGTAGAACAAAGTTGCTGAATTTCCGATTTCCAACTGGTGGTCAGGACACCAAAATGGCTCTGGAAGCCTCCGTATACAAACCTCGAACAAAGTAAGGGTATCAAACGAAAGAGGGAGTCTCTGCGTGTATTTTGGTATGCACCATATGTTCAGATTCAGTTTTTTGTAGAACAAAGTTGCTGAATTTCCGATTTCCAACTGGTGGTCAGGACACCAAAATGGCTCTGGAAGCCTCCGTATACAAACCTCGAACAAAGTAAGGGTATCAAACGAAAGAGGAAGTCTCCAAGAGTATTTTGGTATGCACCATATGTTCAGATTTAGTTTTTTGTAGAACAAAGTTGCAGAATTTCCGATTTCCAACTGGTGGTCAGGACACCAAAATGGCTCTGGAAGCCTCCGTATACAAACCTCGAACAAAGTAAGGGTATCAAACAAAAGAGGGAGTCTCCAAGAGTAGTTTGGTATGCACCATATGTTCAGATTCAGTTTTTTGTAGAACAAAGTTGCAGAATTTCCGATTTCCAACTGGTGGTCAGGACACCAAAATGGCTCTGGAAGCCTCCGTATCCAAACCTCGAACAAAGTAAGGGTATCAAACGAAAGAGGGAGTCTCCAAGAGTAGTTTGGTATGCACCATATGTTCAGATTCAGTTTTTTGTAGAACAAAGTTGCAGAATTTCCGATTTCCAACTGGTGGTCAGGACACCAAAATGGCTCTGGAAGCCTCCGTATACAAACCTCGAACAAAGTAAGGGTATCAAACGAAAGAGGGAGTCTCTGCGAGTATTTTAGTATGCACCATATGTTCAGATTCAGTTTTTTGTAGAACAAAGTTGCTGAATTTCCGATTTCCAACTGGTGGCCAGGACACCAAAATGGCTCTGGAAAATCAAAAATTTATATGGTGCAAAATACATCTAATTTCGTAATCTTAATATCCCATTTGAAATTTTTGAGAAATCGAAGCCAAAAGTCAAAAACTCAGTTTTTTACTGGAGTTTACTGGGTATGTTCCATGGTACAATTATAAAAGGTAACAGCAAATCCCAGCTGATTTGATTCCAACGTAATACTAGTGTCAATATGAATTTGACAAATTATGTTTTTAAAAATCACCCAACAGGAAAATTGGGAACGCATACAATTTGAAATTGTTCTTTATTAATGTGCTCCCGTATTCAATTTACTCAATCTGCCTGCTGGGAAAGTTTGAGGAAGCAAATCTTTCTTGCAGGCATAACTCGCTATTCCCAGCATTGTCATATGTGTTACACATATATATGGCAATGGCTTAATTAAAGGAAAGATGTGGAAGCGATAGAAATATAAATTTGATAGATTTTCATTCATGTTTTTCAATTTTTATTTTGAGGATTCGAAAATATTCCATTTTCAAAATAAAAATAATTTTATGATAATTTGTTTGTTTGTGTACATTTTTCTGTCAAATGAGTTGACACTAGTAGAACTTACAACAACAAATTTCCATGTGGTTGTTGTATCGTTTTTTGTACAACAACACTTGCTGTTACCTTTTATTATTATACCATGGGTATGTTCAAAGGTGTCCCACCTGTGGTATTTTACGGAAATTTATAATAACTTGTTTTGTAGTAAATATGTATATACGAAAGAAAATATATTAGATATGTTTGAAATGATTGTTGGAATGTTTATCGAAAGAAAACTATCACTGAATTCTTCCTGCGCCCTTACAACCAAAAAATGAAAAGTTTACAATTGCAGTGCGAAAACATAGTCACTCATGTAAATTTTGTCGACCACTGAAAAAGCTAGCCAAAATGGCTTACGCAGATAAAGAACAAGATTGGCACATAAAAAATTTTGGTTGCGGGTCGGGAAAATTTTAAATCGAGATTTTATGAGCGCTGTTCAAAGGTGCCTCCTCTCCCCTTTATTTTTTACCCCATTTAATATTAATTTTGTGTATTTTAGGAAAATTTTTAATCTTTTAAAACTATATCGATGTCTTTGCCGAAGCTAACTTTGTTCATTTTTTAATTCAATATATTTAAAAAATGTTGAAAAATTGCCTTAGTTTTTAAAAGATACAAAGGGATGACTTAAGCATAAAATAGTATGTACATTAGAACAATTTAGATCTACTGCATTTACTAAATCTAGTACAGTGTAAATGTAGTATTAGGCATGAATTTACCCCCTGTAGACCTTATTAATAGTCCATGCTTGTTGTGTGTCTATACGTGCATGCTTGTCGTTTTTATTTCAATCAACGACGCTTGTATGAGCGACACAACGAAATGAAAGTGAATTTTTGTGCAAATGGTCATGATCCAAGTACAGGCGTTGTTTCGGGGGGATCATGATGACAAGGAATTTCATACCATCGAGTCCATCACAAACTAAGTTAAAAAATAAGTAAGATCTTCACCGATTGGCTTTATCCTAGTTCATACACTCACAGAAAACATCCCAAATTTTGAAATCGATTGGATTATTAGTTTTTGAGTTATCGTGTCCGCCATCAAAAATAAGGACTTTTCTTTGATCCCAAACAAAAACAACAAACAATTTTTGTAATTTATTTTTCTTCCTTTTTAAATCTTCAAATATATACACCTTAGTCTGTTTTTACACGGTAGTTTGGTTCCAGCAGAAGCCGTGTAAAAAAGGGAATTCCCCTAAATTAGCGCTATTCACATTTGCTTTGACCAGTAAAAATTGTTGTTTAGGTGTATGTGCAAAGTTACAAATATTAACAAGCATTGGTATTCATTTACCAGCCAATTTAAAATCTTAAAAATAAAAAATTGGAACAACTCTAGTTTAGTAAAAACGATCAGATTTTTCTGAAATTTTTTCCCGGTTATTTGACCCGGATGTTCGGGTTCGGGTACCCGAACATCCGGGTCAACGGATCCTATTAATATAAAATGGGTATAAAGGTTATAAAAATACCTTTCAATTGAGTGGTGATACCCATTTTATATTAACAGGAAAGAAAGGAATATAATAATAATAAATAAAAAATATTATTTTATAATATTCTGCGCTATCTCTGTTGGAAAGCACTGTTGATAAAAATAGTGTTAAATGTGAAATTGTGATGTTCTGTGTCACCCTGTAATTTCGATAAAAATTTTGTTATAGAAATTTAGCGATGTTGCTAACTTCACACAGGTCCTATTTTCAACCAGAACCAGTACCAGTGGACACCATTTGCTCGTGGTTCCACATAAAATAGATCAAAAGAAAGGAATATCCAAGTGCAACCAACCAGAGGAATAGCCACTTGCTCTAGGCAAACGAAGTGAACCAAGTGCGCGTCATCTGGAAAGTGTAATCGAGTTGTTGGTGTCCCTTGTCGACAAAAGCGTGTTTCGACCGACAGAGTGCTGATTCGTTCGCTCGCTTAGCAGTGTGTAACCGGTGTTCTTAAAGAAAAACTACCATCGAATAGGCAAAGTACGGAAATATGCCTTCCAGCGACCCACTGCCCCCCAAAGAGAGTGCTCTCTTTAGGAAGTTAATGGTACGTTTGCAACAGCAACCGCATATCATGTAGCCACACACAAAATCGTTTTGTAAGATGTGCTCGTCTTTGCTTTTATCGTTTGTGTGCGTGCAAATTCCACCCCCTCCCATTTTCATTGCTTGACCAATGTTGTGTATATTGTATTGGTTGAGCAGGATCATAGGACATTGCCAAGGTTAATGGGAATAATATTTTGCATTTTAAATATGTGGTAATGTTTTCTGGTTAACTTGTTTTTCGGGCAGAGTTTTGGGTGAAAATTTATTTGACATAACCTCAAAGTTGAGGGTGATAGCAAAGTGGCCCCAAAACGTAAAGCAGAAAAAACAATAATTCCATTTTTAAACATTCATGCATGCTTGCAGTGTGTTTGTTACTATGGGTTGTCTGGGACAGCTAGTTAATTTATCTCATTACATTTGTATTGTAATAGTTTTCAATCATTATAACTAAATTGAATTTCTGAAGAATTTTTCAAAATATTGCAGTGGAATTTTGCTGTCCATTCGCCATAGATACAGATAAAGGATATGTTGTACATTATCAATATTAGTAGACAATTGTTAGATTCAAACATATTATCGATCTTGTTGTTTGTTTAAAATCAATAACAACAGCAAGGTAATAACGTTGAGTTTTTCAAAAGGAAAATTAAAAAAAAATAATTATTTCAGTCAGGATTAAAGGTCCATTGATGGAAATTTTTACGGAAATAATTATACTAACGTCAGAACACACTAACAAGAGAATAAACCTAAATGAACAAATCTAAGCTTTTAGATTTGAAACAAGTATTGATGTGGTTACATTTCATTTTTAATACTCCTACACATATTATCTTTTCAGAAATGTTACGAAATGAAGCAGTACAAAAATGGTCTAAAATTGGCCAAACAAATTCTTTCAAATCCCAAATATACTGAACATGGTGAAACATTGGCCATGAAGGGTCTGACACTCAATGGTCTGGGTCGCCGAGAGGAGGCCTATAAATATGTTCGTCTAGGTTTACGTAATGACTTGAGATCTCATGTTTGTTGGCATGTCTACGGTCTGTTGCAGCGCAGTGACAAAAAGTACGACGAGGCCATTAAATGTTACCGTAATGCACTGAAATGGGAAAAGGACAATTTACAAATTCTGAAGGATTTGTCATTGTTGCAAATACAAATGCGTGATTTGGAAGGCTACAAGGAGACCAGACACCATTTGTTCAAATTACGCCCATCACAGCATGCCTCGTGGATTGGTTTTGCGATGAGTTATCATCTGCTGGGTGATTTGGAAATGGCCAATAGTATATTGGATGCCTTCAACCAGTCGCAAACCTCTATTGTAAGTACACATTTTTCCATAATTAATGATTTCGAATAACACTCGTTTCGTTATAGGAGCCAAACGACTATCGACACTCCGAACTGTTGTTGTATCAAAATCAAATTCTAGTAGAGGCGGGCAAATATCAGGAAGCTTTGGATCACCTAATCAAGTACGAAAATCAAATGGTAGATAAATTGGCCGTTCAAGAAGCCAAGGGTGATTTGTACATTAAAATCGGCCAACACTCTAAGGCTGTGCCCATCTTTGAGGAGCTTATCGATCGCAATCCCGAAAACACACTTTACTATAGTCAATACTTTTTGGCCAAACAAATTTCGGATGTCACTGAAAAATTGAGTGCGTTTAAGAAATTCCAAGAAACCTACCCTCGGTCCATGTGTCCCAAACGGTTGCCTTTGGACGTTGCCACAGGTGATGCTTTCCAAAATGTTCTAGATGACTATCTGAGACGTGGCCTTCGTAAGGGTGTGCCTCCACTGTTTGTTAATGTTCGCTCATTGCATACGCAACCCGAAAAGGTAGCCGTTATGGAGAAACTTATCCTGCAGTATTATGAAAACTTAACTCGCTCCGGCCACTTTTCACGTGAAGATGCTGACAAAAACTTGCCCGTTGAACCAGCGTCGGCTGTGGTATGGACGCTTTTGTTCCTGGCCCAACATTACGACTATAAACGTGAAACAGATAAGGCGCTAGAGTACATCAATGCTGCCATTGAACATACGCCAACACTGATAGAACTCTTCATTACAAAGGGCCGCATTTACAAACATGCCGGCGATCCAGTTGAGGCCTACATGTGGCTTGATGAAGCCCAGAGCATGGATACGGCTGATCGCTACATCAATTCGAAGTGCGCTAAATATATGCTGCGAGCAAATTTAATCAAAGAAGCCGAGGATATTTGTGGGAAGTTTACTCGCGAAGGCGTTTCGGCCATGGAAAATCTCAATGAAATGCAATGCATGTGGTTCCAAACAGAATGTGCGTTGGCCTACCAGCGTATGGAACGTTGGGGTGAAGCCTTGAAGAAGTGTCACGAGGTCGATCGTCACTTTGCCGAAATCATTGAGGATCAGTTCGATTTCCACACTTATTGCATGAGAAAAATGACAATGCGTGCCTATGTTGGTCTGTTGCGACTTGAAGATGTTTTGCGTCGTCATCCGTTTTACTTTAAGGCAGCCAAATGTGCCATTGAAGTTTACATTCGCCTCTATGACAAACCTCTAAAGTCTGAGGAAACGATTGAGGAAATCGATACGGGTAAGTCCACTCTGGAAAATTCTTATTTATTTGGCGATGTAAATAATGACATCTTTAATTTTCTGTAGAAAATCTTCCACCATCGGAATTGAAGAAACTCCGTAGCAAGCAACGCAAGGCCAAGAAGAAAGCCGAACTCGAAAGTGCACAAGCTGCTCAAGCACAAATCAAACGCGAACAACATCAAAAATCCAAACAACAAGCAAATCAAGAGGCCGATCCCGAGGCACCACAACTTGATGAGTTGATACCCGAGAAGCTTGAACGCCCCGAAGATCCATTGGAGAAGGCCATTGAGTTTTTGAAACCACTCCAGCAATTAGCCAAAGAACGCATTGAAACACATTTGCTGGCCTTCGAATTGTACTCGCGCAAGAGTAAAGTCTTACTTATGATTCAATCGATTAAGCGTGCACTAGCTATTGATGCCGGGCATCCGCAAGTGCACAGTTGCATAGTGCGCCTCATGCAAGCACTGCCAACATTGACAAAAGATATAAACGATGCCGTCAAGACGGTAGTGGATAAAGCCGTTAAAGAACTGATAGGTACTAAGAGTGCTCAACAATTGAACGATGAGTTCATTGCAAAGCACAGCTCTTCCATAATGCATTTATACGAAGCTGCGCGTATCATGTATGAATTGGATGCTGGAAAGCAAGAAGCGGCCATTAAGTTGATTACCTCATATGATGTAGCTAAACTTAAGTTGGAGGTAAGTTACGACAACAATAGTTGTGAGTAATTAAGTTTCTTTTTCGGCAAAATGTTTGCTTTTTTTTTATAAAAAATGATCAGCACCTAATTCGATTATGACAAGAAATATATTATAAATATTAAAGATAGCTATAGACAGCTTTCGTATTGAAGAGTAGTTATGTAATTGTAGTTTAGTTATGATTTAACTGGTGACTTTCAAATAACATTCATTTAAGCCGGCATTTGCTCGATACATTTTAGTATGCCCACTTGTGTTTTTATTAAAAGTGTATTTATAATTTTGTGTGGCCCCAAGAATAGCCATAAAATACTGGTCATAGCAGCACATAGCTTAATCTATATATTTGTGTACGTTGGTTTATCTGCATTGAGTATGGAAGGGGAAAAAAATATGTGGCAAAGGATAAGCGTTGACATTAATTCGGTCAAATTTCAAAATTGTCATTCTATGGGTTATATACATATAAAGTTATTTCTATAATAAGTAAATAAATATTTACTCCGGGTAGACATATATATATATATATATATAATAAGTTGCCAGTGTTAAAGTGAAGCAGTCGAATTTTATATTGATATCTATTATATTGATGCACTCGGAGTTATTCTAAAATATTTAAAGGGATATACAAATTTTGACCGGAAATGTGTACCGTAGAAAGTTGAAGTCCAGTAGTAAATAATATATATCATATTATCGGTTTATTAATTAAACTGTTTGATTTTTTAGGACGCCACAAAGATATTCGAATCGCTGCGCGATGGTATCTTTGGCACTTGTGAAGATGCAGTTAAAAACTACAAAGAAACCTGTCATAAACATTTTAAGTACGCCCGTCTATTTCGTGATAATGTAGAAGAAGAAACAACAGCAACAGAAAAAACCACCGAAGAGGGTTCAGATGCCGGTAATCATGTCGAGAAAGCTACTGCTGATTTGTAATGCAGTGGCCATCGCCTCACAACAATTGCCTGGCTTATCCGCAACAATAACAACTACTATTAGAGAACTACACAAGATTATGATGGTGATGATGAAGAAGAACCGCAACATCAAAACTTTATTAATTTTTAATGTTAACAAATAAATCAATAAAACCCTACAGCAACTACTTGACTGGACAAACAATTTTAACACCAAATAAAACAACAGCTACAAAATGAACTGTGAATTCTCACACACACATACACATCATCTGATTTAAAAAGAAATAATTAAAACTGACTCAAAAAACTAGTGTTGGAACACGGTGGTCTTTGCCCAATTAATGCCCACATGTAGCACATTCTTGTGGCAAAGGATTATCTAATGATTTGTTTTTGTTTTTATGATTTCACATGTGAAGGTAAATTCGATTCCCATTGTGTTTCTCACTAGCACATAATGGATAAAAGATCAATAAAACATAGAAATCCAATAATAATCTAAGCTTAATTTTAACACAATATTTATGTAGAAATCAAATTGCAATTTTTAACCCACTATCTCGGTGAATATCAATGATTTATTGGTGAAAGTAAAAGAAATCAATTCCATGATGTTGTCATACACATAAACATGTTTTATTTAAAATATTACAACATTTTTTTACTAAATCTAAAAAAATCATATCTATTTGTTCATTTATCGATATCAATCATACAATATTTTATTTTGTTTTTCATTTGACGCTTTAATTAACCTCCTTCATCTTGATTAAAATTGAGAAAATAAAACTAACACAGTTTGATTATAATACCTACCTAACATCTCCCACACTATACCCCAAACACAAATTAACTGTTGCAATTTATATCCTCATTACAAACAAACATGCATATTGTTTTAAATAGCACATACACATAAGAAGAAAACAAAAACAAAATAAGAGAGTTGTAGCAACTGAACGAAATATGGAGATCCTAGCATTACAACATAACCTAATCAATCATGCAACCAGAAACATACACGCAGAATCCGCAACGTCTTAATTCATATGAAGAACAAACTAAATTTTAATATATTTTATATATAAACAACCGATATAAAAACCTAAAAGATGGAAATAATAACAAGAAACAATAAATAAAAAATCTATTTCTTAGTTATATGCCAATAATGAAGAAATACAAAATTCAATTGTGTTGTGTTTTTAATAATTAGTTGAATTGGAAAACCAACATAGTACTACGAGTTGTTAGCCTTAGATATTCTTCGGAAATTTACGTTTTTTTGACATGGAAATAAAAATTCAAAAATTCTAATGAAGATAGGACCTTAGCGCCAATGTCCTGGCCTTCTGATTTTTAGTTGCCAAAACTGGCATGCTACACTACGGTTCAGGATAAAAAAAACCTGCACTGAAGTAGGAGCTGAAAGAGGGAGTTGCAAGATTCAAGAATTTTTTGTCGTAGCAGCCCTATTGCTTTTACACAATGGGCTGAGGTGACAGACGTAGGTCCAGTAAGACTCGTTTCGTTTTTCGGATCGTAGACCCCTCTGTCAAGAAGTCGATGTTGTAGGTGCATTGTATCTGGGGTTATGACTTTGAATGATACAAAATAAATCTTTAGCAGTAAGACTCGGTACGTTTTCGTTTTTCGGATTGTGTCAAGAAGTCGACGTTGTAGGTGCATTGTATCTGAGGTTATGACTTTGAATGGTACAAAATAAATCTTCGGCATAGAATCTTTCACAAGCAATATATAAAATAAGTGAAATAAACTCGTAATTATACCCTTCACCACACTGTGGTACAGGGTATTATGTCTTTGTGCATATGTTTGTAACAGGCAAAAATAATCGAGATAGACCCATGGTTGCTTTTGAGAATATGCATAGAATCACATTCTGAGACGATTTATGCATGTCCGTCTGTCTGTCCGTCCGTCCGTCTGTCCATGTATTTTTGTTAACAAAGTACAGGTCGCATTTATGATCCGATTTGGATGAAATTTGGCACAGGTCACTTAATTGGCCCAAGGACGAACCCTATTGAAATTGGAGAAAATCGGTCCATGTTTAGGCATAGCTCCCATATAAGGGTACCCTCCAATTTTCGGTATTTTGAGGTTATTTAGCACGTTTTTTAACTGAATTCGCTGCAATTTGGTACTTTGAGTTCTTATTGGGTAGCAAATCTCCCTACTAAAAATTATAAATATAGGTCAATTTTTTCGGATAGTCCCCATATAAGGGTAGCCACAATTTTCGGTATTTTGGGGGTTTTGACCGCATTTTTGGACCGCTGAAATTTGGTACTTTGAGTTCTTATTGGGTAGCAAATTTCCCTACTAAAAATTATAAATATAGGTCAATTTTTTCGGATAGTTCCCATATAAGGGTACCCACAATTTTCGGTATTTTGGGGTTCTTGAGCTCGTTTTATAACTGAATTCTCTGAAATTTTGTACATTGGGTTCTTATTGGGTACCAAATTACTCCACTAAAATTTATAAATATAAGTCCAGTTTTTCTGGTAGTCCCCATATAACGGTACCCCCAAATTTTTGGTATTTTGGGGGTTCTGATCGTATTTTTCGACCGAATTGACTGTAATTTAGTACGTCGAGTTCTTATTAGGTAGCAAATCTCTCCACTATAAATTATAAATATAGGTATATTTATTCGGGTAACCCCCATATAAGGTACCCTTATATGGGGGTTACCCAATTTTCGGTATTTTGGGGTTCTTGAGCGCGTTTTTCAACCAAATTCTTTGTGATTTGGTTTTTATACCCTTCACCACACTGTGGTTAAGGGTATTATGTCTTTGTGCATATGTTTGTAACAGGCAAAAGGAATCAAGATAGACCCATGGTTCCTTTTGAGAATATGCATATAATCACTTTTTAAGTCGATTTATGCATGTCCGTCCGTCCGTCTGTCTGTCCATGTTAAATTGTAAACAAATTACATTTATCCAATTCGCATTTATTATCCGAATTGGATGAAATTTGGCATACGTCACTTATTTTGCCCGAGGACGAACCCTATTGAAATTGGGAAAAATCGGTTCAGATTTAGATATAGCTCCCATATATATTTTCGTCCGATTTAAGGTAAATGCTGTACCAAAGTCCCTATATATCATTTGATTTGCACGAAATTTGGCACAGCGTACTTGATGTGTGCTAAGTTTCATAAAAATCGGTTCAGATTTATATATAGCTCCCATATATATTTTCGTCCGATTTAAGGTAAATGGTGCACCAAAGTCCCTATATATCTTTCGATTTGCACGAAATTTGGCACAGCGTACTTAATTAAGCCTAGAATGATGTGTGCTAAGTTTCATAAAAATCGGTTCAGATTTATATATAGCTCCCATATAAATTTTCGTCCGATTTAAGGTAAATGGTGCACCAATGTCCCTAAATATCTTTCGATTTGCACGAAATTTGGCAATTTGACGTTAGCCACCTTAACAGTTCCCGATGTCTGGAAAATGGGCAGAGTGGTCCCGGTACTGAAGCCAGGCAAGGATGCAAAGGTGAATCATACATGCAAAGGTGAATCATACATGCCAATCTCACCTTTGTTAGTCAGTAGCTAGGACTTTTGAGGTATTGCTTCTCCCTAGCATTCGTGAATGCTACACAGTTGCTGGCCATCAACACGGATTCTGGAAACAGCTCAGCACGACAACCGCTTTGTACGCCATTTCCGCACATATAACGGAAGAACTCAACCAGAACAGGCCGTGTAAAAGGACAGTTATGATGGCGCTGGATTTATAGAAGGCATTTGATACCGCCAATCAGGCGAGGTTGTAAACGTTGGATCGTAAAATATATATTTGGATGCCAGTCGTACGTGGAATTCACAAATAGAAAGTAGAAGGCCCGTAGAGTTAAACAGGAAGTTCTTTTTCTGAAATTCCACGACCATAGGGTGGCATAAAGATCTTTACGTACGTGGATGATTGTACGATCAAGGCGTCAGGTCTGAAATTCAATGACATATGCGAGAGGCTAAGCTGGTATGTTGTGGATATAGCTGATTTTTTCGGGTGAGGAATATGGAAATATCCGCCACTAAACAACGGCCACATTGTTTACCACATGGACAGCGGAGATGTGGCAACCTTTAAATGTGCAGGTCGATAGGTGTACAATTCCGGCCAGGGTTACAGGGGTCACATATTACAGACTCTACAAGTCGCCCGTATGCCAAAGCTATTTGTGATAAGGTCAGGAGCATTGGACAAAATCTTCAATCCTGCTAGAATGCCGCCGAAGAACTGCAACAGGGTGTCTCCACATGACTCCAATAGACCACATGAGGCATGAGGAGATTAATATCCTTCTTGTGCGTCAACCCAACAGGATGTTGTCGATGCAAAATCCGTTTGGATGTTACAGAAGTAGCATCCAAACCATCACGTAATGGATAGACACCCACCACCTAGAAATGCCTGTAAGGATTTTCATGATCTTGAGAGAGAGGTCTAGAGGTACAAAAGGGAACAGGTCTATCAAGTAGGTTTTGAATCGTATTCACACGGATGCAATTCAAGAATATAGAGTGAATACAATCCTCGGAGAACAGCCGCCTACGATAGCAACGGAAGAACAGCAGCTACCAAGACGAACCAAAGAGGACTTGGTCTGGATGGCGTAGCCGCCTCAATTCATATTGTGTGTGTGCCCGACATGTGGTAATGGTCCACATGAAACGCTACACCTTTTCAACTGCCCAGCCAAACCCACTCATCTAACCCCATCTTCACTTTGTCTACAACCTGTACAGGTCGAAACTTTTTGAACTTGGAGTTAAAAGCAGAAACAGATTAAAGAAAAAATTACAAATTAAAGAGAGTGCGCCTGTTGTGGCCCTCTGTTTATAGATTTCCATACAGAACAAGATTCTAGTTTCACATTATGGAAGGCTTTTTTAATATCCAATTTGTTCACTGACTTGTCTTTGATGTTGTAATGATGTGATTTGCTGAACCTGTTTTTAGTACTTTCGAAGTCTGATATGCTTGTTGTACATTACCATCGAAGTTCGTACAACCGGGAAAGTGAATTAGTTATTTGTTTTAAATACCAAGAATTATTTTAAAACAAATAAAACATAAATTAAGACGATTAAAATAAGTGTTTTATTGTTACCAACCAGGTTCTAATTAGCAACACGTAAGTATCGCCTGTATACTTGTGTTGTTTTTCGTCTTTGTGAAA